AGTTCAAAAGCTCTGGGTTCAAATCCTTTCCCCCAAAAACCCCTCCCAATGGAGGAGGCTCTATTGTTACCCCCATTTTGTAGAAACTGAGGCTCAGAGAGCGGAAAAGGGTGCCTGGGTGCTACCCTGTCCTGGCTGGGTGTACCTTCACTGACCTTCAGGCCCTGGGCATTTCCTAATCGGCCCAGAAAACCCACACATTTGGCCCAAAGAGTCTTTGGGGAGGGATAAGAGTAGAAATGACAGCTTCACTTCAATGTCACTGTGGGGCTGAAGCTCATTCTCTAGCTCCATGAGAGGGGCTCGCTCCTGCTCCCCTCTACGGAAAAAGCGAAGCCCTGTGGTCACCGGCTGGTGGCCCACTGTGTGCCGGGACCCTGTACTGGCCCTGGGCACCAAAGGACAGGGCCTCGAGCCACCAGGGTGGCCTGGGACTGGTTATCTCCACCTGCGGCCACCAGAGCACAACCTCCTGGAAGCTGGGCTGTGAGACCTGGGACAGGGCCTGCCTGGGCCACGACGGGGCCCGCAGGTCCCTAAGGGCCAGCACATAGAGGGTGCTCAGGAAGTACTTCCAGAACAGAAGACCCAGTGGAGACCCCAGGGTGGGGCAGGAGGTCCCTGGTTTCCTCAGGGGCCCTCTCCCCGCCTCTGCTTCCTCCTTATTTTTTTTTTTTTCTTTTGTACCAGGGATCGAACTCCAGTCCTTGCACTTTTGAGGCTGGCGTGGTTCCACTGAGCTAAGTCCCCGGCCCTTGCTTCCTGCTGTTTCGGCGTCTCCACTTGGCAAATTTTGACTTTATTTCCTCCAACCTCTGCCTCAGTTCCCTCCACCTCCAACTCCCTCCAGAAGCCCAAGCCTCTGGGTGCCCTTCGGTGGCCTCTCTCCCGGTGTCAAAGCCTCCCGCAGCATCCCTCCTCTAGGTGCCCCCTGCACCCATCCTGGGGTGTGCAGGCCTCTCAGGTAGGGGGCCGGGACAGGGACAGGGTGGCGGGGCAGAGGCCCTGGGTGTGGTCACCCGCCAGCCAAGGCGCTGGCTCGGAGCTCTCCCGTCCGTCGGACACTGGGCGCGGGCGCCCTGGGGCTTCGCAGGCTAAGGTGTGTGGGGGGACTGGGGACCCGCTGCCCCCTATTTGCCGCTTGCCTGCCAGGCAGACCAAAGCCTGGTCCTGTGACTGGGCCCCACCCCGCTCTGCAGCCCGGCTCGCCTTTGTCCCCGCGGGCGGGGGCGCCCTCGAACCCCGAGTCGTTCCGCAGGAACCTGGGAGGAACGGGGCGGGGGGGGGCGCGACAAATGGGCCTCACTGGAGGAGAGTTTCCTCGGCCAGGTGGGGTGGAGACTTAGAAAGGCTGCGCCTCGTGGGAGGAGGGGCGGGGGGGGGAGGCGAGGACAGGGAACCGGGCCGGGGGCCGCGCAGCCGCGGGAGGCGACGAGGACCCCGCTCCAGGCTGGGGCGCAGGCTTGGGGGCCGGGCGGGGTCCCGGGCGGGCGCGGCCACATTCTTCGCCTTTCTTCCTCGGGCTCATCCCGGGCTGGCGGGCGATCGATACCTGCGCCGCTAATATCTTTTTAATGAGTTCGCGGGGCTTAAAGCCAGCGCGATCTGCCCTCCAGGGTGGATTTGTCCCCCGGCAGATGTTTCGGGAGGAGACGGCGCGTGAGGCCCCGGGAGAGGAGGGGACAAATCTCTGCCTCTGAGGGCTCGGGCAGGAGACTTTCTTCTAAAGTTCAAAAGAAAGACGGGCTTTCACTCGGCCCCCAAAAATGTATTTCCCGCGGACAATGGGCTCCTTTCTGCGCCTCTGAAGGCCGGGGGGGCAGGAGGGGGGGACCCGTGCGCTCCGGTCCCGCGCCTGCCCGGTCGCCCCCTGCGCCGGGTCCCCGCCGAGCCCACAAAGTTTTGGAAACGCGCGGTGCGGACGCGGGCACCGGGACGTGAACGAAAGCGCCCTGCGCGGCCCGGGGCGCGGAGCTTGGGGGACCCTGGGCTGCTCCCCGCGCTCTGCATCCGGAGGGGAGGGGTGGGCGCCAGTGCCTTCTAAGGGGACCAGACGCGTCCCCGGCTCGGCCCCGGTCCCTGCGCGCTCCCCCGGCACCAAGGTCGGATCTTCGCTCGCCCCGGGCCCCGCCTCTTGCGCCGGGCCGGGCCAGCCCTCTGTCCCACGCCCCGCGCCGGGTCCCCAGCCCGTGGGTCTGTCAGCCTGCCCCAGCCTCCCTGTCCCACTACGCGGGCTCGGGGGGCAGGGGAAGCCCGGGCGGCAGGGTGACCTCCGAAGAGCCGCGGCCGATTGATTCGTTCCGCCCGGAGCCGGGCCGCGTGAATGGGGCCCGGGCGGCGGCGGCGCGGCGCGGGGATAAAGATGTCCTCGCTGCCCGGGGGAGGGGGCGCCGCGCGGGAACGGGGCCATTCACTCCTAGCCCGGCCCCTCGGGAAGCCGCGCCGAAGAAAGGGGACCGAGGCCTATTCAAGCCCTACGAGCCGCCCACAATGGACCGATATACTGGGGGCCTCTCTATTAACGCCCATGAATATTAAAGAGATCGCCGAGCGGCGGCCCGGGGCGCGGGGAGGGGGACGGCGCCTGCGAGCTCGGCCCGGCCGGCGAGGGGAGGGGTCTCGGGCCTGGGCACACTCCGCGCCCGGGCGGCCGTCGTGCCAGGGCCGCTCCGCAGGAACTCCTGAAGGAGCAGTGTTGGTCTCGAAGTCTCCACCTGGGCGATGCGCTCTCAGGGGCCTTGCTCCCCAGTTCCAAGGGCCGGGGGCTTGGGCGCGCTCCGTAAGCCTCCTCTTTCCCCAGGGCGCGTCCCGGTGCGTCTCCCGTTAGGCCAGAAGTCCCGGGCGAGCGCAGTGGCGACGCCGCAGGCCGTGCGCGCTCCAGCCGCCCGGCTGCCCGGGGCGATGCTTCCGCCCCGCCCGCTGCACGGCTGCCCCTGGTCTGCTGAGCCCGAGGAAACGAATACAGTTCCCTGGCCGCGACCTAAGCCCTCGGTCCTTGCAACCTTCCGACCTCGAGCTGGGCCCTGGAACCCAAATACACCCAGGGTCGAAGGGTGCAGGACCCTTGGGCTTTGCTCAGTGGAGCGCGGCTCGGGAACTGGCAAAATCCTGGGGGCGGGGGGAACTGTCCCAAAGAGAAACAGGCGGGAAGAAACAGTTCACAAAGTCCCACCCAAACCACTGCACAGAGAGGGACACAGGGAGAGGAGACGGGGTGTCCCAAGGGCGCACAGCGGCCCTCGTCCCCTGGTCTTCCGGAGGCGCTGAGGTAGGTTTTGAGGCTCGGGGCTGAGCGCGCGGCCCCTGGAGCTGCTCCCCGACGGGTCCCCTGCGCCCGGGCGCATTCTCCGTTCCCCTCGGTGTCGGCAGAAGCCAAGGCCCGGCCCCGTCCGGTTCCCGGGCCACCAGACGCCGCGGTTGGTCCGTGCGCTTCGACTCCGAGCCTCGAGCTCGACGCCGGAGCCTCGGGAAGGGAGCGCAGGAGCCGGGACCCCAAACCGCTGGCAGCGCTCGCTCCTCCGCAGCGCTGCCCTCTGCTGGTTCCGCTCCCACCGTCCCTCTTTCTGCCAGGTGCACCCTGCCCTGGGCGCCGGCGCGGGGTGGACCTGGGCTCCCAATTTGAAGACCGTTGCGCGCCTCCCTGCCCTCCTCTAAGCTCCCACTCTGGACCGCGGGTGCCAGCAACCCCTGCGCGCAGCTAAGGGCTGGGGGCTGGGGTCCATCGCCCGGAGCAGGAAGAGGCTCTTTTCCTAGAGGCCTTAGGATAAGGTGCCGCTGGTGGGGCCAGGTTGCCGCCCCTCGGGCCCGGGAGAACCCCGCGGAGTCCACTGTCCAGTGGAGACCTAACTTCAAGCCTGGACCACCCCGAGGGCGCGCTGCACCTTCCACTGCGGCATCTGAGGCTGGGGCGGCTAAGAACTTTGACCGTTGGGAAAAGTGTCCCCGTCCCTTCCCCTCTGGCGAGCAGCGTCCAGAGCTGGAGGGGGAGCGGGGGCTCCAGGCCGACCCGGGAGGCGGCTAAGCCTGGAAGCGCCGGCGCTGCTGCGGTCGCAGAGGCCTCGGAACTAAGGCGGCGTGGAAAGTCGACGGATAGAGCGCGGTGGGAGAGGAGGAAGGGAGAAAAGAAGGGTGAGAAGAGGGAGAAAAGGGAGCCCGGAGGTGGGGAGGAAGAAGCTTGGCCGAGGCCTGCCCAGGGCGCTGCTCGCGGAGGCCGCGTCGCCCGGGACCCGGGAGCTGCTGCCCGCGGTTTCTGCCGCTCGCTCTGGGGCCCAGCGGTTCCCACCCAGATGGGCCCAGGGACAGGACCCCTTTACGGCCCGCGCCACTGGCCGCCCAGGACCGGGACCTGGCCGCTCACGAAGCCGCCTCCTGCGGGTCGCAGCCCCGGGTGCCCACGGCGTGCAGAGCCGAGGGCGTGGCCCGTTTGAAGCGAGGCGCGGCCCGTTTGAAGCGAAGCGCGGCTTTGGCAGCGCCGTCGGCGCAGCTCGGCGAGGCTGGGCTGGAGCTGCGGGCGCCAGGTGACCTGGCCGCGTGGGGCGAGGACCCGGGAGAGCGCAGGGCCGGAGAGTCCGAGCGCCCGGAGGCGCAGGCGAAGGCCGGGCGGGCGGGTGCTGCGCGCGCACCTGGCCCGGGACGGGAGGCGCGCGCGGGCCCAGGCCAGGCCAGGCCAGGCGGTCCCTGGAGTCCGGACGAGTGAGCCTCGCCGCGTCCCCTCCCTGCCGACCCCTCCTCTCCTCCTCTCCGCGCCGCGGGCTGAGCCTCCCTCCCCGCCTGGCGCTTCCCACGGGGAGAGGAGGAGGAAGCGAAGGGGAGGGAGGAGCGGAGGGGCCGTAGCGAGCGGTCCGCGCGCCCCCGCCCCCCGCGCTCTCAGCCGAGGCTCCTCGGAGCCCGGCCGGGCCCAGCAAGTCTGTCCTCCGACGTCAGGGGGTCATTAATAACCAATTAGGTGGGTCACTGCGGCTCCTATAAAGGCGCTGAGATTTTGCCAAGGGGAAGACGGTCCCGGCTGGGTGTGCGACAGGCAGGCGCGCGTCCGAGAGCCCCTCGCCGCGTCCCTGGCAGCTACCGCCTCCCACCCACCCGCACCCCCTGTTCCCGCCTCTGCAGCCCTCCGCGCCTCCTCTGCTGCCATCCCTGCAGGTTTCTGTCTCCATCCTCCCCGCCTGTCTCCCCTCGTTCACTTTCCTCCCTCGAAGCCTCCCCTGGCTGCCGCCGCCCCCTTCTCCTCCTCCTTTTCCTTCTCCCCCTCCAGCGCAGCCCTCTCCTCTCCTCTCCTCTCCTCCTCCGCTCCCCTCGGCCCAGCCCAGCAGTCCTTCCCCGGCGCCGGTGAGCCCCGGGCTGCCCATGATGGGCTCCGTGCTCCCGGCTGAGGCCCTGGTGCTCAAGACAGGGCTGAAAGCGCCGGGGCTGGCGTTGGCCGAGGTCATCACCTCCGACATCCTGCACAGCTTTCTGTACGGCCGATGGCGCAACGCGCTGGGCGAGCAGCTCCTGGAAGACAGGAGTCACCACGCCAGCCCCAAGACGGCCTTTACCGCCGAGGTGCTGGCGCAGTCCTTCTCGGGCGGTGAGTCTCCCTGGCCCTGCCGTCGGGCCGTCCCAGCCCTACCTCCCCGCCGCCGCATCCCCACGCTGTCTAGGCGAGGGCCGCAGCGGGGCGCAGGGCTTGTTGGCTGCTGCAACCAACTCTGCTCTTGTGCGGCTGGTTGCGCTTCAGCACCCCCCCCTCCAAAGGGGGCTCTGATCAGCCGGGGGCGGGGGTCTCCCAGCGAGGACCGGATCCCAGCGACTCAGCGGCGACACAGCTCACTGCTCCAGGCACTCCGAGAGGCCCTCTGCCCGTCCCACCCTCCGCCCTGGGCTGGCAGGTTCCTGGCATTGAAAGCCTTACTAGGCGTGTAATAGCAGTTGACTCAAAAAGAAGTGGTTTTAAATTCATTGGTTAACTTGGGCTTGACCTGTGAAAGTTCCCACTTAAACCAAGAACTTTAAAAGGCAGTGGGGGCCATGGAGGGGGCGGAAGGTGGCAGGCCAGGAGAAAAAGCCACAGAGAGAAAGAGAGAGAGAGATGAGAGACAGAGAGAGAGAGAGAGAGAGAGAGAGAAGTTTCTTTTCTTTAAGATGTCTCAAGTTCTTATTCCTCATTCATCAACCCGCAAACAATATCTTCCCCCGGCGCTGGCATCTCTGCCCATCGCCCTCTCTTCCCCCTTTACGATTTCTGTTCCTCTCTTAATTTACCGTGAAGACTAATTCCACTTCCATTCACGCTATGTCAACCATCTAATCCCCCCTTTTTGTAAGGGGAATTCCTCGGCCTCTTTTAAACAAGTCCCCTCCACATTGAGCTACAATTTACTGCTACAGCATTCTTCCAGGGCTAATGAATTTAGAATTAGCAATTTCTTTCGAATGGAGCCCAGTGAATGCGATCACTTTAACAGCGTGACAAATTGCCGGCCGCGCTGCAATGGACACCGTTTAACCCCCCCTTTCAGCAGGCCCACTCGCCGGGTATTTTCCCAGGTAGCTTAGAGGGGAACCTTGTAAGACAAGGAGGCCGCCCCTGTGTGCCTGGCTGCTCCCACCCTGGCCGAAGAGGCCCGACAGGGGAACTCCCGGGGGGCTGGTGGCCACCGCGCATCCCAGCCTGGAGAGGCCACTTCGGAGCTTGCCTGGAGCGGAGAGGGAGCCAGGGTGCCTGGGGTCACAGCGTGCAGTCCAGCGTTTGCCGCCTTCTGTTCTAAGATGGGTCCCCAGGGCTGACCGGCCGGCCTCCTCCAACAGCGCCTGTGCCTGCCGGGGTCCACAGGGGTTGCCGAGTGACCAACTGGCCAAAGCACCCTGAACAGGACTGGGCTAGAGTCCCAGGTTGGCTGTTACATGCTGGAAGGACCTGGCCTCAGTTTCCCCATCCATAAATCCACAAGCAGCAGCGGGCTCGCTAGTTCTCATGCTTTCCCCTGATGGAAGGCAGGGCGGGTGGTGCAAGCGTTGAGAATTCATGAATTCATGGAGGGACAGAAAGGCCGCTTGCTTTCAAGGGCACGGAGGGTCCTGGGCTGCGACAGAGGGGAGGCACTCCCGTCACCAAGCCTCTGCGTGTGACTGCTCTCTGGTCGCCGGAGACTGTCGGGTTGGGATGGCTTGGGGCTGGCCAGGCTGGGGAGGACGGGCGGGGCCTGGGTGGGAAGGGCCACTCCGCTCAGCTCAGCTCCGGCTCCGGTCGGTCGGGACTGGCGCTTGCTCGCGGGCGTTCACCCGGCTCCCGCGCCTCCCTCAGAGGTGCAGAAACTGTCCAGCCTGGTGCTGCCTGTGGAGGTGATCATCGCCCAGAGCTCCATCCCTGGCGAGGGCCTTGGCATCTTCTCCAAAACGTGGATCAAGGCAGGCACCGAGATGGGCCCCTTCACTGGCCGTGTCATCGCCCCCGAGCATGTGGACATCTGCAAGAACAACAACTTGATGTGGGAGGTAGGCGAGGGCCTGGCAGCTTCGGGTCTTGCCAGGAGTCGTGGACGCTCCGGGCCTGAATGCCCCGGGCCAGGACCTTAAGGTGACCAAGGCCAGCCAGGCATGGAGCTTTTTCTCCTGGAGATTTCTCCCCAAACCACCAGCCCAGGCCCTCAGTGGGAAAAACCTGACCTTCCCTGCCTGTTCAGGCCAATCCTAGGGCACAGTTATTGCTGTCTGCACGTCACAGACTGGGCAGGGGGATCCAGCAGGACCCTCTGCTTGCCTGCCTCAGGTCCTCAGGGGCCACGGGGAAGCCACCTGGGAACGACCTCCCAAACGCCTGAATTTTGCCCCTGCTCACAGAAGCAGCCAGGGATGTGCCCCAGGGCCAGCCCCAGCTCGGGGTGAGGTGTGGTCACATGGAGACCAACAGAAACCTGTGTTTCTTGGGACTCAGTTTCCCAACCCCAGGAGATGATGACATACTAAAGTGGTCATCGCTGAGGCTTCCATCCCAGGCCTTCTGAGCCCTACTGCCACAGTGCCAGATGCCAGCAAGGGCCACCCTGAGGACAGAGCCGCTCCGGCTGCTGTTTGTCCTCCTGGGGCCCTTGCCCTGCAGAACAGGAAACCTACTGGCCCAGATGGCGTCTCTCCTTCCTAACCTCATTCCTGCTCTACTGCTCCCCAAGCCAGCAGACCCCGGGGAGCCCAGGGGGACAATGGTGCAGCTGGCCACAGGAGCAGGAGGCGGGGCACAGGGGGGCGACCCACCCCGAGGCCTCACCTGACCTCACCTTCTTCCTCTGGAGGCCTGAGCTAGGGGTTATCTTTTCCAGTTGTTGCTAGGTTATAAGTTAAGGTGTAGTTTGACCTCTGAGCACCCTTGGCAGCTCCCACAAAGCAGCTTAGGCCAGGCCGGGATGCTACAGCGAGCAGCCTTCCATCTCCGGGCTCCTGTGTTTTCTCTGAGGTCCTGGCCAGTGCTCCAGGGTACCTCTGCAGCTTCCAGGGGAGCTAGCTGGGGACCACTTTGTCTGGGCAGTGATCCCTCAAAGCCCCTCTTCTTTGGGAGTCAGGAGGCCCTGGCAGCAGGAGCAGGTCGTGGTCAGCCACGGGGCCCTGGACACTGATGTCCCTTTGGCCCCTTCTACCCTACCAGCCTCCCGCAAGAAACCATTCCAGCAGCCTCCCTTTCCTCAGTGAGCAAACGGAGCTGATCGCAGCTTTACCCACTTCCCGGGCTGCTCAGGAATGGAAAGGGTTTGCAGAGGTACCTGGCCTGGGACTGGGACTTGGGTACCAACCACACAGATGGCACGGCCCCGGCTCACCTGGGCTTCTCTCTACCTGTGCCCAGGTGTTCAACGAAGACGGTACGGTGCGGTACTTCATTGATGCCAGCCAGGAAGACCACCGAAGCTGGATGACCTACATCAAGTGTGCCCGGAATGAGCAGGAGCAAAACCTGGAGGTGGTCCAGATCGGCACCAGCATCTTCTACAAGGCCATCGAGGTCCGTGCGTGTGCATGTGCATGCGTGTGTGTGTGTGTGTGTGTCTGTGTGTGCACGCTGCTGTGTAGGGGCCAGTGGGGGTCCCTGCAGGACGGTGCACCACAGAGGATGGAGGGACATTGACGCCTGCTCAGCTGGCCCTGCCTGGGCTGCAGGGCTGGGGCTTTCTGCTGCACATTGGCAGGATCAGCACTTTCAACTTCATGCCGTGTGAGTGTCGTGAACGTCTCACTAGTGACATCCAGGAGACTGGCTAAGGGTGTGCTTCGGCTCAGAGGTCAGGACATTTCGGAGGACAAGATGAGGAGTGGAAGGCAGGGCAGGGATGCGTTTGGGTGGGAGAGGGACCGTGTGCTGAGTGCCAGGCTGCCTAGGGACACAGGGCAAGCACTATTGTGTCTGATCTCCATGTGACCCCATGAGGAGGGTCCTGGGTGAGGGTCCAACAGCTCACAGGCAGAGTGCAGGGCCCCTACCAGGCCTCTGCGGGGTCAGCGTGTGTCGCTGTGCCGTGAGGTGAGCCCTCTCAGAGCAGTGGGGCAGGGTGGGGTGGCAGGAGGGCAGAGGCCACTCCCCACACTGTCCGAAGACTCGTGAGGGGCGAGGGCTGAGTCAGGCCTGAGAAGGTGGTACTCCTGCTAGGGGGACCCTCGGAAGAGGTGGAAAAGCTGAGGTGCAGGGGGTGGGTGGCTGATGCTGTGGAGCTGGAAGCGCCGTGGTAGCCCGGTGGCCACGCCAAGGGGATTCTCCCGGACAGTGCCCTAGGCAGGAGCTGGGTTCTGCGCTGGCCCGGGTGTGAGTGCCGTGCAGGGCGACAGCTGTCCCTGCACACTGGCCTGGCCCTCAGCATCTGCTCCCACATGGGGAGAAGCGAGACTGGCGGGGCTGAGGGGCTGAGGCTCGGCTGTGTTTTTTCAGTGGCCTGGAAGAGCCCCTCTGGGCCCAGAGAAGGGCTGCCTTTTAGTCCGAACTCCCTTTGCTCCCTGGGCTAGAAGCCTCCGGGGTGCCCAGGCCTAGCAGCTTTGGGGACTGGGATCCTATTGTCCCTGAAGAGCCAGGCCCCAGGGACCCTCCCAGGATGAGGGCCTTGGCCTGACCTGGTGTGGCAGGGGACCGGGTCCCAGCCGAGGGGCGGCCCTGGAGGCCCAGGAGGTCGGGGGAGAAAGCAGAACGAGCAGGGCCTCCTTGGAACCCAAAGTGCCATGGCCAGGGTGGGTCAGGGTGGGACAAGGGTGGTCCCTGTGACCCTGTGGCCGAGCCACCACTTCCTAGAATTGGCTTCTGGTGCAGCTGAAAACCAGTTAGCAGAGTGCATCCTCCTGGATCCTCACCTGGCTCTCAGGCTCTCTCTCTCTCTCTCTCTCTCTCTCACACACACACACACAGGGTCACATTCACGCACTCCTTCCCGCCATGGAATATACATCCCCTCTCCACACAGACGTGTGCATGCACACACACGCACACAGGCACGAGGCAGCCCAGAAACCCCTGTCCACGTTCTTTTGGCAACAGTGCTCCTGGCTGGGGCAGGCACAGGGCCCTGTGTCTCAACCCCCTGCACACATCACACCTATAGAAAGCCAGACAGGGTCAGGGCACACGAGCAGACACTGACACAGAAATGCAGAGTCCACCAGGAATGGTGGCACACACTCAGGAAGCTGAGGCAGGAGGATCACCTGTAGTTTGAGGCCAGCCTGGGCTACATACCAAGGCCCTGTCTCAAAAAACAAAACAAAATAAAAACAATCAAAACAAAACAAAAAATAGAAAGAAAAGAAAAAAATGCAGAATCAGAGGCCAAGGTGGCTGAGAACAGCTCCAGAGAGAGACTGGAATTTGTAGGATTAGGGAAAAATGTTCATTTACATTTGATCAGGAATTAAAGTTTGTAAAATCAAAGGCTACCTTATGTAGACTTATGTAAGCCGTGTACTATTGTATGTGTGGTGTGGATGGTTCAGATGAACAGAGACTCCAACATGGCTCTCAGTGCTTCCAAGGTTAGTGAGGCCCCTATGAAGGGACCATGAACGAGGGGCGAGCAGGGAACATCAAACACCCCCAGTTCCCACTCGTGCGTGAAGTTGGGCACTTTTTTCTCAGCAGCAGTTTCCTCCAGCCCCTTTGTCAGGCCAGCTCGCACGTCCTGGGTGAATTGCGTGTCCGGGTGTCCATGAGTACTGTTTGGCTCGCCCAGCCCTCACAGGCTGGACCGGGGCCCCTGCTGGTCACCCCGGCTGCTGCCTGACGCCTCCAGAATCAATCGGCTGCTGTTCTCCGGGCAGGGTCAGCCAGGAAGAAGAACCTGAGCAGCAATCTGTTTTTTTAATCTTTCGCCACTCACGAGTGCTTTTGTGCTTTATAACAGTAACCTGTTATTTGCTGGACGATGGGCAGGACGTCCGTGGTGAGTGTGGCACAGGGCCGGGTCTGTCCCATGCCAGCCACGGCCACCTTCCAGGCTCAGGGGCCAGGCCAGGTGGTAAGCAGTAGCTCGGGGACCCTTCCAGGAACACACAGTCTGCCCCAAGATTTTTACCTAATTTCAGGCCACATTTCTTTCTTCCTTCCCTTCTCTCTCTCTCTCTCTCTCTCTCTCTCTCTCTCTACCAGGGATTGAACTCGGATCCTTGCTCTTGCAAAGCAGGCAGCAGAACCACTGAGCTAAATCCCTGGCCTAACATCAAAAGCTGGCACAAGGAGAGGATTTAGGAATAAGTTATTACCGTTTTGGATTTTGGTATTCAGATGAATATTCTCAGCCTTTCCCTTCCCTATGTTTTGGCAAATAATTGGACCCTGAAATGTAGGCTTTTCTTGCCACTTTTCCTGCTTATTTCAGGTAATTAAGCTTTTTCTTTTTTCTCTTATTTATTTATTTTCAGTACCAGAGATTGAGCCCAGAGCCTGGTACATGCTATGCAAGCTCTTTCACTGAGCTACAGCTAGCTCTTTTATAAATTTGTATTCTGACACAGGGTCTTGCTAAGTTTCCCAGACTGGCTGAAAACATGAGCTCCTCCTGCCTCAACCTCTTAAGTAGCTGGGATTACAAGCATGCACCACAGTGCCTGACTCTTATCTTAACTATGAGAACGAGCTTGATTGTTCTTTTGACCTTGCTTGCTGGTGGACACTTAGAGTGCTCTACTGACCATAGCATCAGTGTTACCGTCTGCAGAGCATTCACCATGTGGCTCTATGCTCCCACCCTTTGCAAAAGGTCTTAGAAACTTTTTTTCTTTTTTTGATACTGGGCAGTGCACATGCCAGGACCTTGCACATGCTACATAAGCAAGTGCTCTATCACCCAGCTACATTCCCAGCCATACACCTTTCTTTTCTTTTTTAGACAGGGTCTCTGTAGTTGGGGCTGGACTTGAACTCACTATGTAGCCCAGGCTGGCCTGGAACTCCTGGCAATCCTCCTGCATTGGCTTCTTCAGCACTAGGATGATAGGTGTGCTCCAGCCACAACTGCTTAAAAATAGAATTTGACCGGTCATGGCGGTGCACATCTGTCATCCCAGCACTTGGGAGACTGAGGCAGTAGGATGGCCACGAGTCTGAGGCCAGCCTGGGCTGCACAGTGAGATCAAGTCCAATCTGAACTATAGAGCAAGACCTGGTCTCAAAAAACCAAAACAAAAACAAAAAATAGAATTTGTTCAGCCCTGTGAGGTACTCTCTATTTCTATTCCTGTCCTATTTGTTTATGTATTTATTTACCTAGCTAGCTGAGGTGTTGGGGATGGAACCCAGGGCCCTGCATGGCCCAGCCGGCTTGCCCCATTTTAATGATGATAAAACTGAAGTTCAGGAGATCCTGGGAGACTGCTGAGCCGTGCGTTGAACCCAGGCCTGTTGGGCTGCAGAGCTCAGCGCCAGATCGCCCTGTATGGCCGCCCTGGCTGTTGTCTGTTTTCTGGGACTCTATTAATTGACGTGTCAGGACATCTGTGTACGATGGAAATTGATGTTCACCCAGATGACACGCCACCTTCTGCACAGGGACGGCTGGAGCAGTCTCCCGGGAGCACGCTCAATGGTGTGGCATGAATGTGTATTAGGAAAACAAACCCCACAGCTCACCATTTCCAAATGAGAATAAAAATTCAGAAAGTGGAGCAGGACAGAACTCGGGGCTGCCGGGGATGTTAAGATGAATGAGCCGAAAGGCCATAAAACTTGTCAACAAGACTTGGGCTTTGGTGATGTGGATTTTGTGGTACGGGAATTGGTTCCTTCGGGAACTGCTTTTATGGGTGGCGAATCCTGAACCGATGTCAGCTCCGGGAACTGGGAGTGAGCGGCTGACTCAGGCCGTCACAGTCCCGTGCATACAGGGCCGCCCTGGGCCGGCCAAGTGACAATGGTGACCATGCTTGCAGGGAGGCGGGGGCTGCTCTGGCCTGGGAAGCTTCGAGGGGCCCTGGGAGCATCTCCTGGAGTAGCTGCAGCTCCAGAGTCTCCTGGGCTGGACCACAGGGACTCGGGGGATGCAGCGTGCCCAGGAGCAGGTGGGGAGCAGGGTCGGGGTCTCAGTCCCCTCCTCTGTGCCCATGAGGCTGGTAGCATCCAGCTGCCTGGGGACCTGTGTCCTCAATTCCACTCAGTTCTTCTAACGGACTTTTTAATAGTTTTTTGAGACAGGGTCTCGGTGTGTAGTTCAGGCTGGCCTTGAACTCATTACATAGCCCAGGCTGGCCTCAAACTCATGGTGATCCTCCTGCCTCAGCCGCCTGAGTGTTGCGATTGCAGTGTGTGCCACCACAGCTGGCTTTAGACTTTCTTTCTTTTTAAAAATGTTTTTCCATGTACAGAACCATTTTTTCCCTACAAATAAGGGCATGTGTGCATGTACATGAGTGTGTGTGTGTGTGTGTGTGTGTGTGTGTAAGTGTTGTAAAGCAAAGCAGGATCCTTTATCATGATGCTTACTTCAGTGATTTTTAGGGCAAATTAAAAGTCCTAAACTCTGAAAAAAATTATTTTTACATGTTTTATTGTGTGTATAGAAGTAATAGACATATTTTTTTGCTTGTTTGCTTTGGTTTTTGCTTTGGTACAGGGCCTCTGCACTGAGCTGCATCCACAGCCATTGCTATTTTTATTTTTTGAGACAGAGTCTCACTACATTGCCCAGACTGAGCTTGAACTCATGATCCTCCTGCCTCAGCCTCCTGAGTGCTGGGATGGCAGGTGTGCACCCAGGCCCAGTGCGCTGTTTTCCAAAAACCCGGATGCACCATGTGAACTGGAAGTCACTCTGCCCATCATGCTTCTCCACGCAGACCTTTAATCAGCATTTTTTCCAAATGTCTCAGGAGGCCAAGCCTTTCTAGGGAAGACATCCAGAGAGCTGGCGGCAGCCAGGGGGGCACCTAGAGAGAGGGTTTCATTGTTCACCCTGTTACACACATATACATTTATGCTCATATGTTTTAATTTTTTTTTTTTTTTTTTTGGTACCGGGGATCGAACTCAGGACCTTGCACTTGGCAAGCTGGTTCGGCACCACGGAGCTAAATCCCTGGCAGTAGGTTTTAATTTTTTAAGTTAAGGAGTAAAATCCATTTTAGTACATTTTTAAAATATGCTAGTAAATAAATGATTCACCCTTATACTACACCAGGCACCATGATGTTGTTATATTTAAAATAACATTCCTACTACTGAGTGTAGTGGTGCACACCTATGATCCCAGCACTGTGGGAGGCTGAGGCAGGAGGACTGAAAGCTCAAGCTCAGTCTGGGCAGCTTTAGTGACTTAGTGAGACCCTGTCTCAAAATAAAAAATACATTTTTAAAAAGGCTGAGAATGTAGCTCTCCTCCTGCCTCAGCCTCCCCTGTGCTAGGATGACAGGCACGTGCTGGCACGCCTAGCTTATTATATTTACTTTGTATTTAATAATAGTTGTTATTTTCTCTCGGAACTGAAGGGCCAGCGTTGCCTTGGTCCTGTCCCCAGACTTGGTCACTGCCAGCCCCTCTGAGCGCCGTGGCTGCCTGGGGCTCTGTCCATGTCTGTGCCCGAGCAGTGGCTTCTCCTGCGGGACAGATGGAGCTGGAGAGAGTGGCACTGGTGTGGGGCTGTTGTCCTCGGCGTGTCCAGGCCCGCCCCGTGCTCTTCCTGGACCCGGAGGCAAAGCCCCACCATGCTGGGCTTTCATGATGCCAGGGCTGTGAGCCACCCTGCAGTGCCTCAAGGGCTGGATGTCCCAGACCCCTGCAAAGGATGTGGCTGGGAGGACAGCACCAGCGATTCTGAGTCTTGGTGGTGCAGGGGCTGAGAGCACAAAACTCTGCTGCCCAACACCAGGCAGGGTGGCCAGGGTGATGCTTCAGAGCTGAGAAAAGGACGGCCCCATGGCACGAGGCAGGTGGGGCTGCTGCTGGAGCCCCGTGCAGCATGGCCTCCGGAGGGGACAGGCTCGGGGCCCTTGGCCGAGGGCGTCAGAGGCACCAGATCCAGTGAGCCATCTCAGCTGAGACCCAAGCAGGCTGGGACAGTGCTGGAGGTGACTCACACCAGGGCTGCAGGGCACCTCCAGGATTGTGTGTTCCCCGACCATGCCCTCATTTGAGAACTTGGAATGAGAGAGGCAGTGACTTAAGGTGTGGGGGGTCTGGTGACACAGCCCACCTGCCCCGTCTTGTACAGTGGCTTCCTTCACGATCAATTTACCCTAAGCGACTGAAGTCCGGCATCCACTCTGGGGTGTAATTGTCTCTTCTCTCCTCCCTCCTTCCCTCCCTTCTCCTCCCTTTCTTAATCTCCTTTCTCTCCTCTCTTCCCCTCCCTCCTCCTCTCCCACCCTCCTGGCCACTCCGGAGCTCCCCTCTGGTGCCCTCTCTCATGCTCTGGGCCCAGTGGCTCCCAAAGCCTCTCTTCTCTGCCCCTTTTCCACTGGCCTCCTGGACAGCCACCGAAACTATGAATGACCAGAGCACCACAGGAGGCCTGGTCCCCGAGAGCTGGCCGTTATGCCTGCCCTGAGGTCACACTCTGAAACCCGCAGGCCATGGGGTCTCCGGAAGGGGCACGGTAGCCATGGGCCTGGCCGAGGGACCGGGGACCCCTACCCTCCCGCCCCCACTCCTCCTCTTGGGGTCAGCAGAGCTGGATGAGGGGGTCTGGGGGGTGACGGGGCCACACCCCACGGAGGACCTTCTCTCTGGGACTTGCTCAGGGAGCTTCAGACACCCCTCCCTCGGGAGTGCTCCTGAAGGGGCCCCCCCCCGGGACCCAAGGCAGCAGTTGCGGGCCGTCTGCTTTCTCCAGCTACCCCAGAGCAGGTGTGGCAGCCAGCTCTCTGGGGACCGGGGCTCAGGGTGGTGCTCGCTGTCCCTTTCTCATCTGCTCTTCCTGGCCGAGGCCTCTAGGCCTCACCTGGGAGACTGACCGACTCTCATCAAGGCGGGTCCCTTGGGGCATCCCCTCTGGACCAGGCCTCCCTCGGCCTTGGCTGACAGTGAGCTCTGGCATTTCCCAGGCGGCCAGGCTGGCCTGTGCTGTAGGCACTCGTGGTGGGCTCCATGTGAGGCTGCACACCAGCATCTCCAGAGGCGGAGACACCCAGCAGCCCGAGTGCTCCTTTCTTAGCATCAGCTGTGTGCACCGAGCTGTGCAGGGCCCTGTAGGGTGGGGACGTCCGCAGACTCCAGGCTGCCGAGTGCTTGGAACAGAGCAGTTTCCAGAACATTCTCAGGCAGGGTGTAGCCAAGCCTGGGAGCTCACTGCCCTCGCTCCACGGCAACAGCAGGCCCAGCCCCGCAAGCCCCTGTCCTGTGGCCGTGGGCTGGACGTGCTTGTGAGTGCAGCTGGTACAGATGGTGGAGAGCCTTGTGGCCTCCCCGACCTTACCCGGCCTCTGTCCCTGCAGATGATCCCCCCGGACCAGGAACTGCTGGTGTGGTACGGAAACTCACACAACACCTTCCTGGGCATCCCCGGGGTGCCCGGGCTGGAGGACGAGCAGAAGAAGAACAAACATGGTAGGTGCCCCTGGAGGGGACCCAGGGGCCAGGTGCGGGTGGTGGCAGAGGGAGAGATGCAGCCGAGCAAGAGCATGAACTGAGTTCCAACTCACTGCACCCCCTCGGGGACCACTCTGAGCCTCAGTTTGCTTATCTGTAGAGGAAAGGTGTTTGGCAGGATCTCCAGCTCCTTCCCAGCCCATACACATCCTGTCCCTGCCCCTGTCCCTGCCCCTGTCCCTGTCCCTGTCCCTGGACCTCTACTAAGTATAAAGCAGGGCACAGGAGCCTGTGTGTGTCCGGGGACACTGCTCATCAAGACAGAGACTGCTGCTCAGGACCTGTGCTACAGGCCTGGGATAGTAGTGACTGACGCCTGTGAGTCCAGCACTTGGGAGGCTGAGGCAGGAGGATCCCACTGCCTGGGCAATTTACCAAGACCCTGTCTCAAAATAAAAATTAAAAGGGCCAGGGTTGTACTTCAGTGGAAAGACCTTGGGTTTACTCCCTAGTACTGGGGACAACAACAAAACCAAAACCAAACCAAACAAAACAAACCAGAACATTTTACGCCTTGCCAGGCCAGCTCTGGTTTCCTGAGTAAGAAACAAAACCTTTGGTGAGTATCAAAAGCCACACTAAACCCTTGTGGAATTTGATTATCCTTCTTTTTAGAGGACAAATCTGAGGCCCAGGAGCTGCAGTTTACTGAGCCCTTGCTGTACACCTAATGCTTTACACTGACTTCTGATCTTTACTTCCGGGTGCAACACTATTTCCGCCTCTCCGGGGATGACAGCCAGACAGCCTGGTTCAGAGCGGGAGGTAGATGGATGTGTGAGATGAATTAAACGCAGGTGGGGTTTTTGGGGTTTTTTTTGGTATCGGAGATCGAACCCGGGTCCTTGTGCTTGCCGGGCAGGCGGTGGAACCACTGAGCTAAATCCCTGGCCCCCTCAGGTGGTTTTTGACTAGCCCCCGAACCCCGTACTGGCAATTGAACTCAGGGCCTTCACACACTCCCAGCTTTTTTATATTCTACTTTAAGACAGAGTCTCACCAAATTGGTAAATAACCCAGGCTGGGCACCAGCTTGCGATGCTCCTGTCTCGGCCTCCCAACAGTGCTGAGATTACAGGCGTGCACCTCCCCGTGGGGCTCTAGGTTCTCATTTTACAGGCGAGCAGGATGAGGTTAGGGAGGCCGAGTCACTGCGATACCCCGCTCTCCCACCCCAGCCGGAGGTCTGGAGGGTCGGACTCCCGAGCCAGGCCGGGCCGCGGTTCGCGCGTGGCGTGGCGTGGCGTGGCGTGGCGTGCGCGGCGCGCGCCTGTCGCTCTAACCTGTACGCCCCCCCCCAGAGGACTTCCACCCCGCGGACGCGGCTGCGGGCACGGCGGGCCGCATGCGCTGCGTCATCTGCCACCGCGGCTTCAACTCGCGCAGCAACCTGCGCTCGCACATGCGCATCCACACGCTGGACAAGCCCTTCGTGTGCCGCTTCTGCAACCGGCGCTTCAGCCAGTCATCCACGCTGCGCAACCACGTGCGCCTGCACACGGGCGAGCGGCCCTACAAGTGCCAGGTGTGCCAGAGCGCCTACTCGCAGCTGGCCGGCCTGCGCGCCCACCAGAAGAGCGCGCGCCACCGGCCGCCCAGCGCCGCGCTGCAGCCCCAGTCGCCCGCGCTCCCCGCGCCGCACGCGCACGCGCCCGCG